TCTTAGGAAAGCACGTCTATAGTTTAGGGCTTAGTCTATTAGGTTTAGGTATATCCCTTAGCCTACATTAAAAAGTATTATTAATTATTCTACTGAAGGACTACTTACGGGAGCGGTGACTGGATAGACATGTCGATTTGGGTTGTTGGATTCCAGAACGGCTATATGCTAAAATGATCCTGCCCTTTCGACTGTCCTGACTGGCCGGAGCCTTATCAGATAGACCTGAAGTAACAAACAACAGTTAAAGCGTGAATATAATAAATAAGAATATAGAGTCATATATAAAGACTCAGACCCGCGATGAGAATACACCTTAAATACCCGGAATGTTTTTGATCTCAAGGATTTAGATCAAATATTCCAACTAAAGTTTATATGTGCGTATGTCCTATCACAACTAGGTGTAGGTGCGCAACTACATTTTATTATGATCAGATCATATGAACTATTTAATTTGGGAGTAATATTTGATAGACTAAACTCTTGGTGATCCAAAATGTATAGGAATTCGACATGGCACATTCACGAGAATGGATAATCATCGAGGATACGGATGAAGAAAAGGAAGTTTCATTCCCCATGATGGTAGGGGATCCTTACTACCCTATAAATCCAACCACCTTTCATCCAATACCTTCTGACGATGGAGCACCTTTACCTTCCAACGAATGGGGAAGAGAGTGAACCAATGGAAGAGAGCGAACCAATGGAGGAGACAGAATCGGTGGCATCATCTTTACCACCAATGAACACTCTTTACCGTCAAGTTCCAGGAGGAGCAAAGATGAAACGCACGACACGTAAATCCATACCAATATGGAAAAGGATTAAGAAATGGGTGCATAAGGATGTTGTGCTCAGCCTGGAATACAATCATGAAGTTGAAAGTACCAGAAATTCCTAGAGGCATACCATCAAAAAAGCTTCCTTGACCAATTGGGTAGATCAAGAAAACAGCAGTTGCAGCTGCAACAGGAGCTGAATATGCAACAACAATCCAAGGTCGCATACCCAGACGGAAACTAAGCTCCCACTCACGACCCATGTAACAAGCTACACCAAGTAAGAAGTGTAGAACAATTAGTTCATAAGGATCACCATTGTATAACCATTCATCAACGGATGCTGCTTCCCATATTGGGTAAAAATGCAAACCTATAGCTGCAGAAAGTAAACAACATATATAATATTTACAATTTCATAAAAGAGAGAAATTTATTTGTTTTAAGATGGTTTTAAGAGCTTACATTCTTTTATGGTGGCTCTGAATTTGAGAGGTATTGTCAAATTTCATCAATAGAAAATTGATAGCAAAGTAATCAAGTGAAATGTATAATGAATCATGCGATCTACGATAAAAGCATAATTTTATAAAATAATTTAAAATGAGAAATGACTCAAAATCAAAGGAAATTCAAAATTATGGATCAAAACAAAAAAATTAGGTTTGAAAAGTTGAGAGTTTCGATCTATATAAAGTGGGTCATGAAACTTCTTACAAAACAAAGTAATGTATGTTTTAAGTTGGTCATATTTTTGGCTCTTATGTCTTTCTCCATTTATAAACGTTTTTTCTTCTAAATTCTCAATATGCACTGCATTAGTAAATGTGACTAGATTTTTCTATATATGGTTTTCTAACTCTAATTGACATACTGTCCTACTATACATTGACATTTTCTACAAGAGAAATCAAATATCCTCCTACTTTTTATTTCCAATCACATTCATACCCATTTAAAGTTATAATAAATACCCATTTAAAGTTATAACAAATGTTCAGTTTTATTTTCCCAATAACATTTTATTCACAATTTTAAATGGATAAAAATGTAGGTAAGAAGGAAAAGTAAAAGGTTATTTATTTTTTTCTCTATCCAATTGTTACCATGCTACCACAACTGTATCTTGGTGATATGACACTTGAAAATGGAACATTAGTTTCAAGTGGTAACATGATTAGGATTTAAATGGAAGTAGTAGAGGTAGGGTCTAAATGATAACACACTAGAATTTGATATCAAAGTGCCTTGGAAGTGGACTTCAAAATTAAATGGACTTGAATGTTGGTTGAGTAGAAAATATATGGAAGTAACTTAATTAAATTTAATTGTTCTTAGATTAAGCCTACAATTTAGTGAACAAAGTTTACAATTTAGTCAGGTGATGTATTTTGTGCCAAAAAAAGACTTCGATACCATTTGTAAATAGTGGCATTGGGTGACCACACAAATCATATCCAATAGCCACCACCTGTTCGATGAAATGTGCAAAAGAGAACAACCAGGTCAATGAAGGCGGCTTTCAATCGCATCGTCACCGACTTGTATCCATATACACCCAAACACTTAATTAATTAACTATATTTTGAATTTCATCCTCTATTATTGAAAGCGAAAGGATATGGAAGTATGATGTGTATTTCATAGTTGTCTGGATGCACTAATAAAGGACTATAATAATTATTATAAAAATATTGTTTTGTTTTATTAGCTTTGCAATGGAAAAGTGGTGTGGTCTGCTGTGATCTTCGTGGTTCTTTCTCTTTTTCTCTAGAGTCATATCTTGGATGACCCTTTTTGGTTCGATTTCCATTTTATTTTAAAAATCTTGAAAATAATTTTGTCCTTGTAAAACTAACTTTTATTATCATTATTCACCAAAATTATATGTAGTGTTAACGCATGTATACGTAATTATCGAAAGTCAGGTCAAACTCAAGGGTAGTTTGTTAAAAGTACTATCTTCAAAATCAATAATATTCTCCTCATTGAATAGAAAACATATTATATAAAATAGTTCTACAAAAACCCTAGGGATAGTAGAGTTTATCAAAATAAACTTTACTATCACTATGTACGATGAATCTGCGTCTTGTGTGCTAACACAATATTAACATTATCAAATACATGTCACTCACAAGTAAGAGCTAGAGCAATTGGTGGGGTGCCCGCCAAATGGACTCGATGGTCTATTGGTCCAGCAAAATAATCATTAATGAATAGCGAGTTTTTATTCACATGTCATCACCTAACAGGCTAATACTAATACTATATATATATATATATATATATATATATATATATATATATATATATATAAACCAGTGGCGGACCTTAGTGGTGCCCAGGGGGTCCCGGGCCACTGCTCTTATTCCGGCACGTAGTGTAAATTTTTTTCTTTTTTATGTTTTTTTCTATTAGGTGTACTGGCTTAAAATACGAGTACCACTACTAATTTAGATTTTTTCGGAAAAAAAAATTTTAGTGTTACCCCTACTAAAATCTTCTGCGTCCGCCACTGTTTATAACCCGTAGGAACCACGGGTTATAAAATTAATTAAACTTTCATAATAAAAATTTATAATTATTTTAAAAAAAATCAATTTAAATAAATTATTAATTAAGAGATATATCAAAATTTTAAAGTTATTATAACTTCAAATTTAACATATAATTAGAAAATGTAATTTTGAATTTTGAAATGAGTTGCCTAATATATCTACATGACACATGACATAATATTAATGAGGAGTTGTATTAGAGTGACACTTGGCAAAAAGAGATTAAAATTATTCATTTATTATATATATATATATATATATTATATATATATATATTATATTATATATATATATATATTGCAACTTTTCGTTTGTGAGACAAGTGTTAGAAATAGAGGATGAACAGATTGTTTGGATTTTCTGAAAATCGTGATTCACTAACAAATTGAAATATTTCGATGGTACATATCGAACACTTAATTGGATGAAATTCATAGATACGAAATCAGAGAATGTATGTGAACTGTTCTTCAAGAAGTGTACCAGAAAATGACCGAAAAACGGCTATATGATTCTTGTCTGAGAACTGTCACTAGACATGTTGAGAGAAAAACTTGAACAAACATTAGTCACAAGATAATATAATGCGGAATAATAAGTTAATCTATCAGATCTTGTTAGCTCAACAATAATAAGTTAGAAGAGTTAGATTGTGAAAATATAAAGGAAATAAATAGCAACAAGTTATATCAAGTAGACACCAAGTTGATTCATAACGAGGTTTGCATGCAAACACAAGTTAGTAAGTGCGATCAACTTAAAGTGAAGAGGAACTCGGTTTATCACAAGATAATAGAGATAAAGATGAACGATCTTTGTATTTTGTAACACCGTAAATTTTCAAACAAATTTTTCATTTTCAAAACCACATAATTATCAATATCACATTTTTTCAAAACCAAAATTGTCAAATTGTCAAAAACACAAATTCATAAATTGTCTGATAAAATCCAAGATCCTCAAAAACATAAACTCAATCTCGTGTGTACTATCAATCTGGCGCCTTCCCGCGATCTTGAGAAGTACCTGAAACACATATCACATAACACAGTAAGCACAAAACTTAGTGAGTTCTCCAAAATACCACACATCTCATTAGCCTCTCATGGCTATATCTCAATATTGACCCTCCGGTCAATGTGTCTCAGTGGAGACCCTCCGGTCCCACAACTCGGGTTGGACCCTCTGGTCCTAACTCAATGAAGCTCATAATAATATAAGGATAGTCCAAACGAAAAAAATAAAACGACAATAATTTAAACAAAAAAGTTAACACGATGATAGTCCGAACAAAATAATAATACTAATATAGAAATAACATATAGATAATCCAAACAATTAATATGATAAAAAAAACAAAAAAATACAAAAAAACCAATAAAAGATAAAATTTTCAAATAAGATATACCAAGAATTGAGAAAAGATACATAAAACTTCTTCTTTATGTTCATTTCATTAATTAAATAATAAAAGTTTTATGTAGACGTCGCAAATAAACGAGTAACAAGTTATACCATAACCCTTTATTTAATATTTATATTTATAACTAATAATAAATTAAATATTATATATCGAATAAAAAGTTAATAATTACCAAGGGGGAGGTGATGTATATAATCCCCCTATATATACATATATGTTTACAGCAATAACCATTAATTTCATTCGGCTATACTTCGTTCCTCATCTTCCTGTTTCAATTGCATATCACAAATCCAATTCATCTTCCTGTTTCAATTGCATATCACAAATTCAAATTCAGGTTAGCTATTCTATATTCTTCTTCTTTCTATTATAGTAGACATAAAACTTTGCATATTCAAACTTCTTCCTGCTATTGGTGTGTTGAGCAATTCCATAATCCAAACATAAAGAGAACCCATTTTATTAAAAAAATGTCATTTAATTACCAATGAATTCTTTTTTCCTTTCAATTTTGTTTTCCACCAAAAACACTTCAATTGCATGCAGGCAAAACCAAACCTGCCAATTTATTCCATTTCTGTCATTTTTTTAAACATAGATAATAGTATAAAAAGCAAATAAAATTTAAAGAGTTAAGGGTCGGAATCAATATTATAACTATAAACCTATAAATGTTATATTTTTAAAATTATAAAAATTAACAAAATTATATGTGATTAAACGGTACCCCATGTATTTAAAGATATTGTAATATCTTATTAAACCTGTTAATTTTATTTTTATAACCGTTTTAGATTTTAGATATTATATATATCTAAATCTTACCAATATGCATACATCATTATATACAAATTTTGGAAGCAATCGAATTATTAAATTTTTTTATATTGTATAAATACAGTGTGACACATCGTAAAAAAGAAACCGTTTCCTCCTCATCCCACTACCATGTCGCCGGAAACGGCCAACACGACGTACCGGAGAAACCACTTCTTCCTACTTCTCCTCATCGGATTTATCTCTTCCGTCAGCTCCGACGAACTTGAATTCCTGTTGAATCTCAAAACCGCTTTAGCGGAATCTGATACAAAAGTATTTGATTCATGGAGATCGGATAATTCGATTTGTAACTTTACGGGAATCACTTGTGATGATTCTGGATCTTCGGTTAAGGAAATCGACCTCTCGCATCAGAATCTTGCTGGTTCGATTCCTTTTGATTCGATATGTCAACTCCAATCGTTGGAAAAGCTTGCCTTCGGTTTTAATTATTTGAATGGAAGCGTTACAGAAGACCTCAACAAGTGCTCGAAGTTGACTTATTTGGATCTCGGAAACAATATCTTCTCCGGTCCTATTCCTGATATATCTTCCATGAACGGACTTTTGTATCTCTACGTCAATAACAGTGGATTTTCAGGTACTTTTTGTAAATGTTTACACAAATGTTGGATAATTTCGTTTTGTTTCGTGAATTGGTGAGGAAATTTGCTAAAATGCATGATAAATTCATTCTTTTGCGGACATTTTTTTTTGAATTTGTTATGAAACTAACTATTACGAATTCTCAGGAACTTTCCCGTGGAGTTCACTGGAAAATATGACGAAGTTGGTTGTTCTAAGCATCGGAGACAATCTGTTTGATCAAACTCCGTTCCCGAAACAAGTTTTGAAACTGCTAAATTTGAATTGGTTGTACATGGCGAATTGTAGCATCGGAGGTGAGATTCCGGCTGGTATTGGGGATCTTAAGGAGCTTATTAACTTCGAGATTTCGTCCAATTATATTACCGGAGAGATTCCAAAGGAAATCAGCAAGCTAGTGAAGCTATGGATGCTTCAGCTTTGGGCAAACAACCTGACCGGAACACTTCCGGTGGGATTACGTAACTTAACGAACCTCCAGTTCTTCGATGCTTCCACCAACTATCTCGAAGGTGATCTCTCTGAGATAAGGTATCTGAATAAGCTTAAGAGCTTACAATTGTTTGAAAATGAGTTATCGGGAGAGATTCCGCCGGAGCTAGGCGAGTTCAAGCAACTGGTGAACTTGTCTTTGTATCGGAATCAGCTCACTGGGAAACTTCCTCCGCAGCTCGGCTCCTTGTCTGACTTCAACTTCATTGACGTGTCGGAAAACTTCCTCTCCGGACAAATTCCTCCCAACATGTGCAAGAACGGGAAGATGACGGAGCTCCTTATCCTTCAGAACAATTTCACCGGCGAAATTCCGGCGAGTTATTCTGACTGTAAGACGCTGACACGATTTCGAGTGAGCAACAACATGCTTTCCGGTGTTGTACCTAGTGGAATATGGGGGCTTCCTAATGCTGAGATCATTGATATTGCCACGAACGATTTGGAAGGAGGAATTACATCGGACATCGCGAATGCAAAAACATTGGCGCAGATATTCGCTGCTCACAATCGATTATCCGGCGAATTGCCACCGGAGATTTCAAAGGCTACATCCTTAAATATGATCGACTTAAGTCACAACCAATTTTCCGGCAAAGTCCCCGCAACCATTGGAGAATTAACCCAACTGACCAGCCTTCATTTTGATAACAACAAGTTCTCCGGTGAGATTCCAAAATCGTTACGTTCATGTGCTTCGCTAACAGACATAAACATGGCGTATAATTCATTTTCCGGCCAAATCCCAGCAGCTTTAGGGTGGTTACCGACGCTTAACTCGTTAAATTTATCCTGTAATCAACTCTCCGGTCAAATTCCATCCAGCTTATCATCTCCGAGGCTAAGTCTTTTAGACCTATCCCACAATAAGTTAGCCGGCGCAATACCAGAATCTCTATCTATCGAGGCCTACAATGGAAGCTTCGCCGGAAATCCTGCTCTTTGCAGCCAAAAAGTGAGCTATTTCCGGCGATGTTCTTCAGATTCCCGTGGCACGTCTAGCGTACTCCGGACAGCAATCACTTGCTTCTCAGTTGCCTCAGCTATTGTTCTCGTTTTCCTTGCATACTTCTGTTACTTGAAGAACAAAAGTCAAAAGGATGATCAATCCCGTTCGTTGAAAGAGGATTCATGGAACATAAAATCATTTCATGTATTAGGCTTCATGGAAGAAGACATTCTTGATTCGATCAAAGAACAAAATTTGATCGGAAAAGGCGGTTCCGGCCAAGTCTACCGCACGTCATTAAAAAACGGGGTGGAATTGGCAGTAAAACACATCCGGAATTCCGATTCCGTTCACCGGAAAAGAAAGCATTCCGGCAAACAAGATTCGTCGGAATTCGATGCGGAGGTGGAAACATTAAGCTCGATAAGGCACGTAAATGTTGTGAAATTGTATTGTAGTATTACAAGTGAGGAATCGAACTTATTGGTCTATGAGTATTTGCCTAATGGAAGTCTTTGGGATCGGTTACACACGAGTAAGAAACTCGGACTTGATTGGGAAACAAGATACGGGATAGCTGTTGGAGCTGCAAAAGGTTTAGAGTATTTACATCACGGATGTGAAAAACCAGTGATTCATAGAGATGTCAAGTCAAGTAATATACTCTTGGATGAGCATTTGAAGCCAAGAATTGCGGATTTTGGACTTGCAAAGATTATTCAAACCGATTCCACTGATGGTTCTACTCATGTGATCGCTGGAACACATGGTTACATCGCTCCAGGTAAGCGTTCTCCCAGGAGTCTAACATCAGCTAAACACAGTTCTGTCAACATCTATATATATTTTAGTCTTTCATCTAAAAATAAAAACTCTACATATCTAACATGGTATGAGAACTTATGTCTACCAATTAATCTCACATCAAGTAAACATGGTCCTATCCATCTTTATAAATGTTTGAAGTTTACCCATTTAACAAAAGGGCTTTGTTGATAAGAAAACTATAAACTACACATATCTAACATGGTATTAGAGCAAACCTAGGTATAACATCTTTGGTTTTTATATTAACAAGATTTGGTGTTTATATTGAACAGAATATGGGTATACGTACAAAGTGAACGAAAAAAGCGATGTATACAGCTTTGGAGTAGTGTTAATGGAGCTTGTGACCGGTAAAAAACCTATGGAGTCTGAATACGGTGAAAATAAGGATATAGTGTATTGGGTATGCAGTAAATTGAAGAACAAAGAAACTGTGTTAAGTCTTGTTGATTCAAGTATCCCCGATCTTTACAAAGAGGATACCATAAAGGTATTGAAGATCGCGATTTTGTGCACATCGAGGCTTCCGGCACTTAGGCCAACCATGAGAACAGTCGTTAAGATGTTAAAAGAAGCCGAACCATGTAAATTAGTAAATATAATCATCACTAAAGACGATGATGGTAAGAAAAAGAATGATAAAATTTTGTCTTAATATATGAATGTAGGAAACAAGTTGGTACACTAGTGTATGATAACAAAAATGTCAAATGTATCTATCTAGAGGCAGACACCTTTTTGTAACATAATGCCTTTTTTCTTAAAATCATGTCAATCATTTGCGTTTTTACTTTTTATTTCCACACAAGGGACTTTTATATATACTGCATAAATTAACATCACACAAAGTGTATAGAGGATATATATATATATATATATATATATATATATATTATATATATATATATATATATATATATATATATAACTTAAAATTTGTTAAAAAGTAGTTTGTTTATGTCATCTCAAACCCAACACTAAATTTCATGTGGATAGTATAACACCAAAATAGTGTTATATTGTTCAATAATATCAAATATCAAATTTAAGGTTAAAGTTTTATATATGTAATTTTGGTCCTTTAAGTTTGAATTTAGCTATTTTTAAGTTATTTTAAGTGTTTCAAGTCTATGTATGTTTACTTAATTTAACTGTATAGTCATATTTTAAATATTATAATTGTTTAAAATTTATTTAAAATTTGTAATACTTCGTAATAATTTGAAGTTATTTTAACAAAAAAGATATAACAAAAATACATTATAACAGAAAAAACAAAAATTGTTTTGTTATATTTTATTTAATACTATAATTTATAAAGTTATTATAACAAAACATATTAAACAAATTTATAAAAAGCTAATAAATATAAAATGTATTTAAGATTTTTTGATATAAAAAAATAGTATAATGGATTGAAAAAAGAATCACTTTTTAGACTGGTAAATATAATCTATTTTTAAGCTAACACATAATTTTATCTATGTCTACGACGAAACTTGAACCATCGACTTTAAAGAAAGAGAACAACATCTGATACCGATGAATTAGAAGTCATTGATAAAAAAAAATCACTTCTACACCATGTTTTAATGTTAGGGTAATAAGTTGTTCTTACAAACATTACACTTGTTTCTACATAACTTTTTCCAAAACAAAAGTTTTTAACACTTAAATTTCTTCTGTCGTGAAATCCATTTACACTTTCGAATTTTGATGTTGGTTATTTGATACTTGATACTTATATCAACAACTTTTGTTACGATAGAGTCGGTAGTATTTTTTCAAACTTCAATATTTGTATCTTAGTGAAAATCCTTCTACAATATTCGTTACCGATGTAATATTGGTGGCATACCAACATATATAGTATTGTATCATGAGTCCGAAATTAGACTTTATTCTACACATACATCTATGCATGCTTTACATGGATTGTGATTCATGCCTATCAGCCTATATATAGATGCGGTTCTAGAGCCAACAAGGTGGTGGAATGTAGTTTTAGTTAATTTGGCTAATACTATATTTTTCTGCATATTAAATCTAATTTTTAGGTCTTACCACACTGTTGTTTGACGATATTTAAGAACAAAGCACGAATGATCTCTATTAGGAGATAGAGTTTATGGAAAATTGTTATAAAAGTCTTAATATTTTTTAAAAAGTTTCACTTTAGTCTAAATTTTATTTTTTGAACAGAAAAATCTCGATTATTTGATTTTAGATGATAATATGTCATTGCCTATTAAAAGAGAAAAAAATGTTTTTTTTTGTTAATTTGAGCCAAAATAAAATACTTTTATGTTCAAAAAAAAATTTAGGACTAAAGTGAAACTTTTCCGAAAATATTATGATTTTTCTGACAATTCTCCTGAAATTTATATCCATAAAAAAGAGATTAGAGAACTTATGTCAACCAATTATAAATATATATGCAGAAAAACTTTTATATTATTTTTATATCCAGAGAAACCGTTGTGTTTATATTTACTATTCAAATAAAACCAAAGTAAGATTTTTAAAAGAAATTATCAACAAAAATATGATGTTGCGTACATTTTTGTTTTTCAATATGACAATGATGTTAATTGGAATAAAAACGATTAGTTAAGGAGGGTAAAATCAATTGTATTATATAGTTCCATATAGAGCAAACGCAATCGATCAAAAATAATCGAAATAGATGTATGATTAAACATGTATTCACATTCAATCGAGAAAAATATAAACCATCTGTATGTCACATAATATTTTTGGCTAGTCATATTTTAAAATTTTGCAGTTTGGTTTATTTAAAGCATAAATAATAATGTAAAAATAAAAATAATATACAAGTTGTCATGTATATACCTATAAAATTAATTGTGTTTATATATACATGTCACCTAAGGAAAAATATTAAAATTATCCATCCGTGTGGGTTGTTTTATCATTTATGCTTTCTTTTTGGTCTAGTAAGTAGTAACTAGTAACATGTAAGCCCATCTGATTTTTATGGCCACCTTTAATGTAAAGTTGTAAACAGTCCGCATATCTCTTAGGTTTTGTTGACCCTCCACTCCATGGGCCCATGCCCACAAATATAAACAAAACATATAAACAAAGTAACAAACTCTAAATTCAATTAATTTTTTTTAATGTTTTTCTTAAGTTTGTTAACATATAAACAAAATTACTCATGTCTTCATGTATCTATCTTCATGGTATGTAACAGTAAATATTATTCAAGTATATCACAATAAATACATGTTTCTTTTCATAAAAGTTAAAAATATGTTATTTGTGGTGTCGTGTAAAATTTTTACATGATTGTTTATGATAGCTATTTTTATCTTTAACATAACATCAAAGAATTTCATTATTACAGCTTAGAGTAATACAATCAAATAAAACCATGCGATCATTAGTAACGTATTTGCTTGGAAACAGTGGGCACTTAGGGAGGTTATATCTAGATTTAAGATCGACAGTTGCTTTGTCAAGTATAATTTGAATTTATTTTATGTAGGACTTTAGGCTTTCATTAATTGATTGATAGCGATAAGATAGGCATGTTCTATTAATGGAATAAAAATTGCATAGCGATTGATATAATAAGAGCAATTCCATACCCACACTCTAGGACTGAAAGTCGGTCATAATTTAGTAATTATAAAAAGCCAGATGGAATAAATGGATATGTTAGTTAAACATCCAAAGCAAATATGTGGGCATCTTTTTCTCCTTTTGGTTATACATATTCCTTGAGTAAGATGATGAAATTTATCTACTTAAACTAACCAATGTTGTAAATATTCCCAGCTAGCATTCATGCATCCAAGATCTGATCAATAAATAGTTTGTTTTCATCAAGATACACTTCCTTTCTTATGGTATCATTCGTATACATACATTAGATGTGTTCAACATCGTAAATCCAAAATTCGGAATATCTAAAAGTTTCGAATAATAGGTTTTGAATATAAGCATTTGTATCCATAATTTAAAATTTCATATTGGATATCAAAATTGATTCATTGTAGTATGCATAGATGAAAATCAAGCGAAAAAGATTGAAGCAGTTAAGAAAACAATCTGACAGTCATCAAGGAATTTAACCACTGGATGAAGAGGAAACTAGATATTTGCCTTGAAAGACCCTTAGGCTCATACTATCGATATAATATATATATATATATATCTATATATATATATATATATATATCTATATATTATATATATAATATATATCTATGCAGAATGACCTAAGGGTCTTTCAAGGCATATATATATATATAGATATATATATTATATATATATATATATATAGGTTTAGGTTTTATGGAAAACAAAACAACCCTAAAATCATAAAAATGCATAAAAAAATACTTAGAGATCACAAAACCTTTTTTTTGAATTTTTTTATAAAAAATCGCTGAAAAATTTTTTGAAAAAAAAAAAATGATTTTTTTATTTTTTTTAGCGAAATTGTCAAAAAGGCTGCGATTTTTTGATAAAAAAATCAAAAAAAGTTTTGTAATGTGTAGATATTTTTTTTATGCATTTTTATGATGTTTTTAGGGTTTTTTTGTTTCAAAGAACCCTTCCCTATATATATATATTATATTATATTATATATATATTATATATATATCTATATATATATATATATATAGATATATATATATATGGCAGTATGACCTAAGGGTCTTTCAAGGCATATATATATATATATATATATATATATATATATATATATATATATATATATATATAAAATACAAAGATAGGATTACATCATATTTAAATATCATCAATATCTATCTACACATCAGATCACAACTGACTATCTAATCACTTATCATCTATATTCGGCTTCTGCTTACATTCTCCCTCAATCTTAATCGGTACAAGGATGAGATTGTACTTGAGACGCTCTAGCATATGGCGAGTAATAGGCTTGGTCAAACTATCAACTATTTGATCATTAGTAGAAATAAAACGGACATCCAAAGCACCAATAGCCACCTTCTCCCTCACAAAATGGAAATCCACTTCTATATGTTTTGTTCTAGCATGAAAAACAGGATTAGCGGTCAAATAAGTGGCTCCAAGATTATCACACCACAGAACCGGTGGTCGAGACTGATATACTCCTAACTCCATGAGTAAATACTGTATCCAAATAGCTTCTGTAGTACCATTCGCGAGTGCTTTATACTCAGCCTCAGTGCTTGATCGAGACACTGTAGGTTGTTTTCGTGAACTCCATGAGACTAAATTTGGACCCAAGAATATAGCAAATCCACATGTTGACCTGCGATAGTCCAAACAACCAGCCCAATCGGTATCTGTAAACACACTTAACAGTGTGGAAGGAGATTTTTGAATATTCAACCCTGTGTTGGTCGAACCCTTGACATATCTCAAGATACGCTTGACAGCATCCCAATGAATATATGTTGGCTTGGACAAATACTGACAGACCTTGTTAACTGCAAAGGAAATATCTGGTCTAGTCAGTGTAAGGTATTGCAAACCACCTACCATACTTCGATACTTAAAGGCATCTGATTCATTAAGAAATTTTCCACAATCACGAGAAAACTTGTCTGTAGCAGACATGGAGGTTGAAACGCTTTTACAATTCTCCATGTGAGCTCGATGAAGCAATTCAGTGGCATACTTGTGTTGCATGAGAGTGATTCCCCCTGAATTGTGAACGACTTCAACCCCCAAGAAGTAATGCAGGCGACCAAGATCCTTAATG